AGCATCACCTGCAAGGAGCCAGCTCTGGAAGGATTATACCCAACCATCTGCATCCCTAAACCTTCCAAAGGCACATACGCGGTTAGGATGAATGTCCATGTAATGGACTGCAATGACAACCCTAACTTGCTCTAAAGTTAATGCTTCCATATAAGTACTCCAACTCTGTAAGTCAGTGGAAATCCTTTGTACAAATGCAAAGCTCCAACACTCATTCTCCCACTCAAAAGACTTATCTTCCAAATCTTGAACTTCTTCCCTGCTCAAAGAGTACCACTGCCACCTTGTGAGGGAGTTCCAAAAAAGAACATGTTGAACATCTCTTGAAACTGAAGACTGATTTGCAACATGTTTAACATATTGATTTATATAAAATGTTTCTGAACCCTCACCTGTTGTTTCTCAAACACCATCTGGAAACCTCAAAGTTGATGGAGTCAAGACCCATGCCCAATTCAAAGAATGCTTCAATCCAAAGCCAACCATGGCAGCCCTCAAAGGATACACGCACCATTGCCCTGAAACCAACTCTAAAAGCTTGCTTCCTCCTTGAACACACCTTGAACACATAAGTGACTATATACTAGCAATGAATGGGCACAATCCTTCAAAACTGAAAAAGAGCTTGAAGTCTTCAAACCTTCAAAGTCCAGTTGGATCTCTTCAAATAGAAAGTCTTGAAACTCCAAAGTCTTCAAATTTCAGTATTGAAAGTCTTGAAAGACTGAAAAAGCAAACATAAAGCAACTCCAAAAGGTTTTCTGACTCCTGCAATCAGCTCTGCAACCAGCTCTTCAAGAAACTGGCTTCAAGGCCTGCAAATCAGCCTGCAACTTTGCTGGCTCCAAATCCTGGGTCTTCAAAGTCTGGGGATCTGGAATCATATCCCCACTTGAAGACCCCTGACTCTTCCAACCACGCGCCATCTCCCTCAGAAGCTCCACCTTAGATGCACAAGCCAGCCAACAACAAACTGAAAGCCAAGCTAGAACAAAACACCAAACTATGAAACAGATTGCAAAAATACTAAATCAAAAAGATTGCAAAACAAAGAACAAAATCAAAAAGGTCCAAGATACTTGAAGGCCAGTGTTCCAATCTGGAAGAGGCTCAACTTCTGGAAGAACTGCAAGCTTCCCCCACTCCAAGCCCATAGCTGCAGCCTTTGCCCTGAGTTGAGGAATTAGGCACTTCAAAAGAAACCAAAAACTTGAACCTGAGAAAACACAATCAATGAAAACTTGAAAGGTTCAGATTCTAAGTCTCTGGGCATCTTGAAGCCTGGTCTGCCTGTAACGCAGAATCTCTGGAAGGGGACTCCAAGGAGAGCAAGTAGCTGCAAGATTCTCCAAAGTCCTGGCCTTAAATGAGGCTGCTCTCAATCAAATAAACTCTCTAATTACAAGAACACCTGGAAACACATATCAAATGCCAAACAAGGTTCTGGAAGAAACCTCATGCTCTCATCTAAGTACACTCACAAAAGAACACCTAGAAAAAAGAAACAGAAAAGTTACATCACATGCCAAACAAGTGTCTGGAAAGAACTTCACAAGATTGATCTCTGGCCTGCAAGTGTTCTGCAAGACCTTCAAATCTGCCTCCAGCTCTTCAACAGTCTGCTGCTCTCCAACACTGGCCTGTGTATGGCTGAAAGAAATTCTGAACCTATGGATTGGGAGTGGATACCTGGAAAAAAATACAAAACACACATTAAATACATCCAAGATGCATGCTGGAACCTCTTGTAGAAGATGTCGTTCTGCAATGCAGTCGCGCTCTCCCAAATCATCAGGTCCCACTCTGCCCTGGGCTTGTTTTGATTGTTTGCTTCAATTGCAGTGATCAAAAACTTCAATTAAAAGAAATTACAAAAATAGAAAAGACCAAAAACTTGAACTGGCCAAAATAGAAAAGAACTTCAACTAAGAAAGCCAAAGGCACATGTAGGCATCACAGCTGGACCCATTGTATGGTGGCCTCATGTCCAGCAGCCCAGACTTGAAGAGCTGCCCACCACCACGCGCTTAGTTGCAATGAAGTATCAAACTGCAAGAGAAACCATAATTTCTGCAAAGCATAAACAAAACACAACTATAACTACAATCATAAACATAAATATCAACTTGAGACCCTGCTGCAAACTCAAAGCTTCAAAAAATAGCTTGTTAAGACAAATACAAGCTGCTGGGATCAAAAGTCAGCAAGTGCTGCTGAAGGTGCCTAATGGTGTCTTGGCACTTCCCAGATGCAGCATCCTGTCCTGACCCAAAGAGAGTTGAAATAAAAACTGAAACTGAAAGAGAAGCAAAACAGAAAAACAAACTAACTACAAAATGATAGGGATAATCCATCTGAGATGCTGCTTTCAATATAGCAGACCTTCTGCCCAATGTAGGTGCAGTCTGCTTGGATGCTGTAAGTGTACTCAAAGATGCCTTCAAGATTCTCCAAGCAAGACTTCAAAGTGCCACACCCTTGAACCAGCTTGAAGACTCCAAAGCACGCTGCAAATGTTTGCACCTGAGCTGGGCTCAAAATGTGATTTGTAATGTCACTTCAATGCAAAACACTTCAAAACACTACCAAGCAAATGACCACAGCAACTGAAGACTTACTAAAATATAACCCAGCTTCAATCTGCAAAGACACCTGCAAAGCCCCTGCAAAGCCATTCCAGTCTGCAAAGGGGGTGAGGAGCTGGAAGTGGCCAATGCCTTCACAGCTTTTAAACATTCTTTGAGACTAGAAATAGTTGTCTCCAAGCTGCAAACCAATCTCCAAGCTTTAAAGAAAAACAATAGCTGATTTTCCTCCAAGCTTCCAACTCCAACCAGCCAAGCTGTCAAGATCACTGCAAGGTGGCCTAGAATCCACCCAAGCATCTCAAAGGCACCTGCAATCTTCTCCAAGAAGCTGCTGAAAGCCATGGCCTGAACAAGGTGCACAATGAATTGAACTCAAAACATGTCTTTAAGAACACTTGGGGCTTAAATAAACCTCAAAAAGAAAGCTGTGCCAATGTCATTCAAGGTGCTGCAAATCCCAGGCTGAAAGTCACGCGCTGCAAGGCCCACTTGAAAAAGCTGAAAGCTGCTGTTGCTGCAAGCTTCAACTGAATGCTGCAAGCTGCAACCCCCTCCAAATCCATTCTTCAAGCTGCAAGCCCTTGCAAAACAGACTTCAACTGAATGCTGCAAGTTGCAGCTCCCTGGAAAAACATCTTGAAAGCGCACACTTGCAAAACCCTTCAAACTGCAAGCTCTCTAATTACACAACAATTCTAAAATCCTTTCTTCAAGCTGCAAACCACTGCAAAACATCTTGCTGAAAACTTCAACTGAAAGCTGCAAGCTGCAGCTCCCTCAAAAAATTCTTCAAATTGCACCCTTGCAAAACCCTTCACACTGGAAGCTCTCTACCAAACCATTCTTGAACCCCATTCTTCAAGCTGCAAACCTGTTTTGGACACTCTGCCTTAAACCTGTCTCAAACTAGCTAGCTTCCTCAGGCCTTCAATCCTGTCTTCTACCTTTCTTCAATCCTTCTTCTCTTTCTTATCTTCCTTCTCTTTCTTCTTGAAAGGATGTTTCTTCAACATATCCACAACTGCATCTCCTGCAAGGTTATTTGGTTATTGGAAACTTGAACTAAAGCTCAAAGACTTGAACAAACTAGATTCTAGAGAGCTAGTCTCCACCTGAAAGTCCACCTGAAACTCCATCTGAAAGTCTCAATGGTGCTATTGTTGCTTCTGTTGTGTTGCTGCTGCTTGTGTAGTTTCTGCAGATGTCCATTGAGATTTGCAGATTTCCATTGAGATTTGATGATTTTGAAGCTCTTTGAATGCAGATGTCTATTTAAGTTTTTCAGATTTCCATTGAGATTTGATGATTTTGAAGGTCTTTGAATACATATTTATATTTAAGTTTTTGAGATTTTCATTGAGATTTGATGATTTTGAAGGTCTTTGAATACAGATTTCTATTTAAGTTTTTGAGATTTCCATTGAGATTTGATGATTTTGAAGGTCTTTGAATGCAAAAGTCTATTATTTTTTGAGATTTCCATTGAGATTTGATGTTCTTAAGTAATGATTCCTTTCATTTTTAATATTGCCAGAGATAGCTAAGTAATGATTCCTTTCACTTTAGTATTGCCAGAGTAGCTCCAGAGGTAGCTAGCTAAGGATTCCTTATTTAATTATCAATTGATTGTTTTTCTAGCATATTATTCTAGAGGCCCCAATTGTTGGGGGGGGGGGGGGGGGGGGGGGTTGATTAATCAAGAGTCAACATTATTGACCTGCCAATTGTCGAATACTAGGGAACCTTTATCCCCAATGGCTACCCATGTGGAGTGTCAAAAGCAAAACGTTCTCAGCAATCAATCAGAGACGATCAAGGATCGAGTCTCAGTGTAACCCTCACAGTCGCCGCAACTCGCCGCTCCTGATCTAGGGAATAATAACTGGCAAGCTTCGATCACTCGTGCCTGTTTGGTTGCCAATAGTTGCCACGTCTTCCATCTCATGTTTGAATCTGATTCGGGGCTTATGTCTCTGGCCCTGCCCTGGACAGACAGTCCTAAAGGAGATTCGACAAAAACAATGCTGATTAAAACAGTTCAACATGGTTTCAAAACCTCACTCGGTGGGCCAAGCCGCTGACCTCAGCGACCGACTGGTGTGTAACGTGTGAAGATGTTTCGGTTCCCCAGCAAGAAAAGCGGAAAGATGCTAAAAATGGGCTTTGTCGGACGGAGAACTCAAAGGAATTCCAAGTTCCTGAATTCTTGCATGTATTCCAGACCCTGTGATGCGAAATGTGATTCTTATAGTATATATATATATTATATATATACACATGTTCTGATACGTGTTTGTAGCTCCAGTCACTAGTCAAGGACGCTTTCATTGGCGCGGATTCATTACCTGCAAATGCAGGCATAAAAGGAATTCAATCCTCGCCCTTTCCTCCCAACTGGCGAGCAATTGCCAGGTCACAGGCGAGCGGGTCACGGTGCTCTATGGAACTGACACAGGTGGGCAAGATGCGACTGCATGAATGGAGTTTGCAACTCAACGGCGGTGCAGGGCCAATCCCCTGCGCTGATCTGCCCTGGTCTGTGATACAAAAAGACTGGATTTGACGTGTTTACTCTTGGGGTTTGATCCTCAATAGCAAAATCATTGGATCAACATTTCCTGAACGTCAGTGAAGCGCCTTGCAGGGTGGCTCAGGGGTTGCACAGAGATTGGGGTGTCCTCACAGATAAACAGAAAGCAAGGACAAAATTAGCTTGAGCTCCGGATGATTCATATATTCTATATATTTCAATATAACAATGGAGTGCATTGCACCGTGGTACTACACTCACTACACTCCACAAAATTGCAAGGGAACTTGATAAAAAGTACAAAGTGGACCTGTCAACTCCCATGGTCACTAGTTAAGCAGTGACTACAGTAATTAATTTGCTGTGTGGATATCGGATGATTTTGGCATCCTTGTTTCACTACACTGATGCCAAAATGGACTCCACCACCTTTTTGTCAAGAGCAGTGTCAAGCCAGAGGAAGATGCCCCAGCGAGTAGAGGAAAAACAACATCTACAAGTAGATCTACATTGCCACGGCAAACAAGTTCTCTTCACAACCGTTTTGAAGAAGTTGTTGTGTTGTGTTCTCATGTTCTTAGAGAAGATTTGTCTTGGATGCAGTCCCAAACCATGTGCAATTCAATAGAAAGAGAAACTGCGGCGGAGCCGAAGTCGGAGAAGTGAAGTGCACGTGTTCTTTGGCTCGGATGAGACACGTTGACGCACATGGGAGAGGAACGGTGTCTTCGTAGTGTGCACCGACCAGGAACTTAACAAAGTATGACCACAACTGCCTCTCGCAGAATAATACTGTTTGTTCGGGCTATACCATGGCCTTTGTTGCGTGCTCTTACACGAGAGCCAAGATGCATACATGTACTTTGGAGTTATGTTTGCCATCTCTCGGACTTTAGCTTCTAGCATCTTCTCCGAGCTGACATTCCAACCATCCGCCCAAAATCCTGCAACCGACAACTTAGCTCCACAACTTGTCGTTCGCCCCACTTGCTTTCTATGACCATCAGCGGATGCCCCAGATGAAGTGTAGAAGCGAGTCAGCAACGTTCATCCACCAGTACAGCTCCTAGTAACTGAAGCAGTTGCGCTTTAGCAGTGCCCCGCACAAAAGCGCTCCAGGAAATGCCGAAATGGTGGCCAAGAACTTTCAGTTCGAGTTCAAGCGACGAGGCGCGGGCGTCTTGCTGAAAGCTGCTGCTACGGTCTCAGGATTGAGAAGCCAAAGTCAACACAGGGTCTCAGGACCCGAAGCAGTGAACTACTAGAAGCAAGGACGCTACTAGGGGCTCCTGGCCTTACTACTAGGAGCAAGGACGCTACTAGGGGCTCCTGGTTTAATTTTAAAGGTTCCCCAGCAACAGCAGGCGTTCAAAATGTGCGATCATTGGGAGACAAGCCCAGTTAGGAATGTAAAAAATATACTGACAGAGAAAGTCCGGGAACTCATTGCAACTCAAGATACCCAAGAAAGTGTGAGTCGACTGGCTGATGCATTAATGCAGGTGCTGTTTCGACTGTTTATCCTCATGCTGGATGCCATGACATCAGAGACTGCAAGCGACTGCTTCTAGATCCTTCATGTTTGGTATGCAGAACCTTCATGTTTGATATGCAGAATCTCATCATTTTGTCTCACACCTCAAAATAGCACAAGGAGCTGCTGGTGGTGACCCCTCTCACCTCATGCCCGTGTCATTACTCGACGTCCAGTGGAACTCATGCCACGACCGTGTGGACAGTCTTTCAAACTTGTGCTCACAATCTCAACTTATTGTGTTTTGTTTGTTTCTATACAAGGCACACCAAGGATTCTTAAAATCGGGTGTTTGATTTTTTGGAAAGGGCACCTCCTGTTGTTGTTGTTGTTGTTGTTGTTGTTCACCTCACAGCTTCGGGCAGCAGAAGGAATGAAAGCCAAGTGTCTCTCCTTGAACGACATGCCGATCTCTGACTTGGCAGAGGAAGACCGAGTGAGTGCGGGGTGCCGGGTGAGCATCGGGAGCAGGTGAAAACCATTGAAAGCCCACAAGTGTCACAAGTGGGCCAGGGACCTAAGGTGCCATCGCGAAGCATTGAAGTCGTTGATGGTCAACACATAGCCAAGACCGGTTCCTTTGTGGGGATCCAAATGTTTCACGTGGGTTGCAGTGCAACTGTTTGACAAAAAACTGTAGGTGGTTGGCTGAACCATACACACCTTTGAGTGGATTGAACCCGATCTTCCAAAAGCTTGCCAGGAGCGAACCTGATTCCCCCCAACTGCACCTTTTTCACGGACACACCATGACACGCTATTTGGTTGGAGGCCATCGCTATTAGGTTGGAGGCCATCGCTATTTGATTGGAGGCCATCGCTATTTGGTTGGAGGCCATTGCTATTTGGTTGGAGGCCATTGCTATTAGGCTGCAGGCCATCGCTATTATATAGGTCGGAGGCCATAGCTATTAGGTTGGAGGCCATCGCTATTTGGTTGGAGGCCATCGCTATTTGGTTGGAGGCCATCGTTATTTGGTTGGAGGCCATCGCTATTAGGTTGGAGACCATTGCTATTATTTGGTTGGAGGCCATCGCTATTAGGTTGGAGGCCATCGCTATTAGGTTGGAGGCCATCGCTATTAGGTTGGAGGCCATTGCTTTAAGGTTCGAGGCCATTGCTATAAAAGGCCATTGCAATTAGGTTTGAGGGCATCGCTATTGGGTTTGAGGCCATGCCTATTAGGTTGGAGGCCATTCCTATTGTAAGCAAAAAGCCATCAGTTCTTCTCACATCTCGAGGAGTCCAAAGTGCTGGCCATCGTGGCCACAGCTGGGCAGGGCGAAATGCCCAAGTCCGCGGTGAAGTTTTGGCAGGACGAGTGTGGAGATCGTGATAGCTTTTAAGGCATTGTGAGGTTGGGCCATGGCAAACGGCATGGAACAGTTGGTGTTGTCTTGTTTCTCGCCCTGATCGTATGGGTGTTTGGACCAACCTCTCTTGCACATGTGTGTGCCTGTGTGGACGTACTAGTTTTGTTCGAGGACGGCAGCTATTGTTTCTTATATATATATATAATATATATATATAGCCATATCCAGTTTTTTGATTGGGTTTTGCAGTTTCGCATTTTTGTGCGCTTCTCGTGGCGATACCTTTTTGGGTTGCGCCATGAGCACTGGAATTGTCCTAAATTACATTCCATGGTGAAGTGGAGAATGACCACGCAGAACATGTGCAGAGGTTGAGTCATCCTGCAGACAAAGCATATCAGTATCAAAGTATCGTTGGGGTGTATGTGCATTTTTTATGGGCGATTCCTCTCCATCTATAAGAGTCCTACTTGGAGGCTTTGCACATTGTGGCGGGTCTACTTGTTTGTTGTGTTTCCATTACAGGTATCTACCATTTATATACTTGGGTCAACTTCATGGTCTCAGCCTAAGTAAATTGGTTCACCAAGAAACACAACGAAACCCTGGAACTGCTACTGTCCCAGAGTATTTGTCCAGTGTATTTGCCATAGTCCTACAGCGGTGCGGTGCCAGGGTTTTTCCATCAATGTTTGGAGTTCTTTTGCGCACAGAATCATCCAGTGATTCGCGGGAACTGGTGTAGCTTGGCAAAGCAACCATAATACATCCAAAAACGATGCACGCAAACATTGGACGATGTTTTTCCCATCAATGAGCATGATCAAGTCTTTTGTTGGTGCTCAATTCAAGACCCACATGAGGGTACTCACTCCTGTGTACATGTGTGCTTCACGTGACACATGTGCGCTTCTTGTGGGATGGGGACTTCGTTAAGCAACATGGAATGTGGAAGGTCCTGTCAGCGGTTCATCCGCAGCATAGAAGTCAGCCACTATAGTGCCCCTGGAAAACAATTCCCCAATATGTGCCCTTAATTGTCTATATCGCCCTACTGTCCCTACTAAAGTTGTTTCTTGGAATGAGCATAGAACGCTGCAGGTCCAACCCAGCACGCCTTCTACTTCGATTCACACCTCGTTGTGTACTTTCGCTCAGATACGTAAACCCCCTCACTTCAGGCATATTCAAGTTAGCTAGATTCCGAAACATGTCACCCGTGACACGGAAACAGCCGGTAGTTGATGGTGAACAGCCGAAGACCCTCATTGACCTTTTGAACAAGTGTTCACCGTGAACACCTTGAGGACATGGAGACCTTCCTTGAGACTGCTCCGGCGGACTATCTTAAGGACGAACATGCTGGTATGTCAACCGGGCTTCTGTCGGACACATGATTGAATGAATGTCCGGGGAGGCTTTTGTAGGAATGGAGTTTCCATGAGTGTCCATTTATAAACAGAGGATGGTTTGTGATCTGTCTTGTAGAAATGTTGATTCTGATGGGGGTGATACTCTGTTTGTGGACTCTCATGAGCTTGCTTTGGCCATCTTTGGCCATTTACACAGATTCCGTACCATATGCTCGCAAGTCATGTTGGCATCGACCAAGACGGGGTTTCAGAGAGTCCCTGAAAGTTATATTATAGTGTTGCTGCAGCGGTGCTTCCGGCCAGGATCCACAGAGATTTGTGTGACATGTAAGTAACTAATTGCACTTTATTGAATTGATCGCCACAAACGTTAATGCGCCAAAGTTGAAGCTTGTGGTTTGAACTTTGTCCTTGGCCATCTTTGCGATGAAAGAGTTGATCTCGCCCTGAAAGGGTCCCGTTGGCGTCCCTTGCCGTTTTCGGACGGCTAGTGACACCTAGTGTGAGGACACCAAGTTTGCAGTCTTTGGTCTTGGTGACTCCTCCTACGTCTTCTTCAATGAGGCCAGGAAAGTGGCGTGAGGTGGTAGTCGATTGGTGATGATTTGGGTAGTGCCTGTTGTGCAGAAGCAGGTTTAGACTACGTACAGTGTGGATCAACCAGGGTCTTCCACATTGCATAGAGCAGATTGGGTAATTGGGGTGAGTTCCTGGGCAAGAAGAGAGTGTCATGACCCCACCAACATGTTTGCACGCTGCATGCTTTTCACTTTCTACATATATGGATACCCAACTTCACCAAAGAAGTTATTTCTTTGATGAGCAGAGCATTGATGCCACAAACAACTTTCCCTGAGCAGCGTGTTACGATCAGATGTTTTCTTAAATCAGGAACTGTACTTGATGTCACAGTAGCTGATGGCCTTGGAGTGCAATGCATGGTTTACAATTTACAAGTTGTTCAAAGTCCCGTAGTTCATGTTTGCAATCTGAAGAGTGTCAGTGTATGTACATTACATATGTCAATATGTATATATTATACATATAAATATATACATTATATACAGTATCAGGTGAACTTCTCAGTGTCAAAGACTTCAGCATGAGGCACCATGAGTCATTGCCGGGTTTTGGCATGGGTTCCAGCGGTGGACGAGAACTCCGACGGGGCCCGGCAGGCAGCCAAGCGGATTGATACAGCCTTTGAGAAGCTGGGCGGCCAGCGTGTGCAATCCTTGGGCTTGGGTGATGATCAGCACCCCGCCCGGAGCACCCAGAGCGTTCGTTTGTTCAATTGGAAGTGGATGATTTTCGAAAAAACGCACCCAGCAAGGCACACCAGTCACACCAGCAGGCTAGATTCTTCTTGAGTTTGTTTGGCGCACGAAAAACTTTTATGAGCAGACGAAGCTTCCGTACTTGTACTTATATAATTGTACTTCAGGAAGGAGCTGCCTTGAGTATATCTGAACTGATAGAGGCCCCAACTCTATGCGGATACCCTTCTGGGCAAGAAAAATACCCCAGGGCATGAGCTGTTCAAAACATCGAAAACGATCGAACACTGATGGGGCCCAGACAATAATATTGGCACACAGTTTTGTTTGAAACCGTTGTGTATATAAGGTATGATAAGGTAGCAATGGGCTACCACTAACACACTCAACTACCCCCGAGCCATTTTCTTGTAGACTGTAAAATTGTGGAGAATTTGGACATGTCCATTGAGAGCAACCAGGCCTCACCGACACCAGCTGTGGCATTGACGATCATTTATGTTGGGTCAACCAGCCAGCTGGTGTTCCTTTATATATTTTGTTGCACGATGATACACTCATAGTGCAACAAATATGAGAATGCAAAGTCACATGCCAAGCCCGTCAGATTCTGAACTGGTTTCAATGTCGGGGGGGTTGGACTTGCTTCGCACATTTATACAAACATGTCCTTCACACAAAGGCAACACAAAAACAATGCAAACAAATGTAACAAGTTGAGACCCGGAGTGCACCTTTTGATGAAATAGGCCAAGAGCTGGTCAATACAAACTTGAGGTAGCGACGCGGAGTGAGTTTGGAAGGTGAATTTGCCGACAGCAGGGAGAAATGTCTCCTGGTTCATGGGATCAACAAGAATATGCTGAGCCGTAACTGAACAAGTGATAGAGAGTGAGTGCCGGAAGCCAGCGACTTCTGCAAAAATCCGGGAAACATGGCTAAAAGGTCGTTTTGGTTCGCACTTTTGCTATCCTTTGTTTCAACATGTTCGGTTGCGATGCAATGTTCATTCTTTGGGTTTCCTATTTAATTTGTTCTGCGATTTGTTCGTTGTATCCCACTTGCCTCGGGTGTCCTCGCTGGCACCCGCACCATTGAGCGACTGGATCAGAAGGTGAAGGCCTCCATCCAATGGCCCAGGTTGGCATCCTCAGGACGCGGTGACCCATACAATAGACTGCACTGACGTGCAAGTCGAGCCTTTCGGAGTCACAACTCCGTTCATCGTGGAGTCAGCCCCAGCGCTGTGCAAAGCGCGAGGCGCCTGGACTTCCCACCATGACGATGCTCCAGATGCTGAGCCATTGCGGAGATGCTGAGCTTCCCACCGTAGAGCCCACAACGGCCAGCTCCACACAATCTGCATGCCCTGAGCGTCCAACTCGATTTGCAAGCCTGTTCGACCCGCTGGAACAAGGACAATAGACCAAGGGTCTGGATTTGAGACAAACACATACTGTAAGTTGTATCATTGTATTTGGTGAAACTGATTTTTTTTTCTCCTGGGGCAGTGCAGCTATGATTGTGGGGCAACCTCCATGTGTCCGTTCACGAAAGCCTTTTGGAATCCCTTCTGCAACTCAGAGGATGCAGAGGACTTGGTATTTAAACTGGTGTTAGTTTGACAGGCCCAGCAGTCCAAGTACATATTGGTTGAAGCATTGCTATTAACCAGTTGGGCTCTGACATGGTCACATGGTCCTCCTTGCTTCATGGGATCACTGAGACTGCAATATAAGCTAGTAGTAATGCACTTAGCTACTAGTAGCGTCCTTGCTACTAGTAGTAATGCCAGGAGCTACTAGTAGCTTCTTGCTCCTAGTAGCGATGCCCTTTGTTGCTAGTAGCTTCTTAGATTATATTTTTGTTCGAGATCCTACAAGTTGGTAAAAAACCGCTTCAATGCAAGATTGATGAAAGCAACGACGTGGCGATTTATGATTGCGTGATTTTTTCAATTGTTCACATGTTGTTATATGTTGTTCATAAATGGTGTCATGAAAAATATGTGGTGTCATAAAGCTAACAAACAGTGTTGAAAGCATAAAGCAAACTGCCACGTCATTTTCATGTTGTTCATAAAATGTTCATCTTTGTTTCATACAAACACATGATTGTTTGAACATTTTATGGAGATGATATGGACAAATTTATGGTTACTGTCCAGGGATGTTTGTTTTAATGTTTTGTTTATGGTTTTGTGTTATCGGTTTCAATAAAAAATATAACGGGGGCTCCCTTAACTTATTATTCAGGGGTGCATGTAACAGCCAGGACAAATTTGTTTGGAATAAATTTCTCGAATGCTCGTCAGGAATTTGTTTTTGCTTGGGGTCCCTGTGCCAGGGGAGTGGGGGTCACCCAGGAATAATAGTTACCACTAACCTCGAGACCAAGGAATAATTAGAAAAAGAGAACGGACTGCAGGGAAGAAAGGGAGAAGCAACTTCCAACATCAAAATTGCACGCTATAGCTGAACTCCACTACCCTGGAATAATGAATGTTGGGTATGTACCCGGGGCCCAGAATAATCATTATACTATTCCAGGACACCAACGTGGTCCCTGCTGATGGGAGCCCCCCCAAAAAAAAATATATATTCATAATGAACACATAGTTTACAGAAAAATGTAATAAATGAATTTGGCTTTTACCAGACTTGTCAGATCTCAAATATATTTGTTATAGGGTCTAGAGAACCACCGAACTCCCCGAAATAAACAAGATCATGAGAGACAAGTTATATGCTTTCCATGTTTGTTGTTTTGAAGAACTACCAGTGAAAAAATCCTGACATACCTACTAGGCAGTGCGAATTGACGGATGCAAAAAGGGTAGCTAGTAGTTAAGTCATGCTGGTTTAACTGTCCCTTTTGCAGGATCAAGAGGGTAGTGTTGTGCGGCATCTGAAGCTCCTGTGTTCATGCACTGGGCTGAGTGTTGTTTGTATGAACTATGCAATCATCTAAGTTAAACTTAGATCCCTTTGCTTTTATGTGATCCTGGCTCCTTCACTATTCGACTCAATCACAAGTCAGTTGACCCAAGATGTCCTTCTACACATACCAAGTGGCCTATGGTTGTGGATGGCCTATATCTTGATAGAAAGGACCGCCGCCAGAGTGCGGCTCTCGAACATATCGTATATATAAAGAACAGAAAGGCAGGCCTGTCAGGTGCCCTGTGGCGTAAAGAATCAAATCTGTGATGTGTTGTTTCATGGTACTGGTACAGACTCCAGTTGACTCCCCTGACACTGAGTGTGGAACCACCACTGTCAGGGCCGCTTTGATGATGAGCTGGAGGCCACTTCGATGGGACCATTCAATGGATTTGGTGCTCCAATCAATCTTAATCAGATGGTTGAGAGCAGAGTGACCAAACCAAGTGAGAGCCCATATCAGATGTTCTGAGCCGTTTTGGACAAACCGTTCGCCCTTTCAGTTTCTGAGCAGTGATTCTGACGTGTGTGTGGTTACGTAACTTCCACAAGTACACATCACACCAAAAGGAAGCTTTTTGGACTGGTGACCTCTATACAATGGTGGTGTTTAGATCCCTAAAACAATGATCTGTGCATTCTGCATTCTCACAGCAACCCCTGGAGGCCAACTCTATTGGTATTTGCTTGTGACAAACAAAGAGGTCAGTCGGCGAGAATCTAAACACCCAAAGCCATCCAAAACCATACCGCGTTGTTAATTCAAACATGCCGACAGTTCTGTTAGTCAACAATGCGAGGTACCTGACTCTTACCGCACCCGCCCAGAGAGCTGGATTCGTTGCGGAAGATCGATACCCAGAACCATGCTTAGTGTATCGTTCAAAAGCGTTGATTTTGGAAACTTTCCCGGTGGCTATTCACGGCCTGGAATGTGGCCACTACAGGGTCATCCCAGAGGGCTTGATTCTCCAACACCTGTTTAAAACATAGTTTTATATATAGTTGGCTCCTTTGGTTGCCTAGCCTGCAAAAGTGTACTCTCTGAGAAAATGTTTAACAAGCCACACGTTATTTTGTGGTGGTTATTCAATCCGCCATCGGAGGAATGGAGCCCCGACTTCTACGACAACATCGAAGCACCAGAGCCGCCACAGGAGTGTGGTTTGCACGGCGCTTCGATCATAACGCACGTTCAAACAGGTATATATATATAGTATCTAGTCAGCATTGGTGGACCCCGTTGTTGGAGGGTTATTTTGATGAAATCCTGACAATCCCAGGTCTCAAATAAGCAAATCCAAGAAGTCCCAAGACGCATTGGCACCTTGGGCAGTCTCCAGTATATAGATTTGGTGGATCAACCTCCAGGTTTTAGGTTCTGAGACTGAGCAGTTGTTCACCCATCCTTCGGCTGCAGAGGCAGAGTCCTCCATCCTACAAGAACCATTTCCGGCCGACTGGGTTGGTGCAAGATCTCCAGCAAAGAACTACTTATGCTTCCTTGTCTTCGCTTGCACTTGCAGTCTCCAACGTGTGTACTACCGGTGTTGGAACATCCGAAGTATTCAGAGGTCGAACATCCGAAGTCTTCTGAATGCGGGAAGTGGGAAACGCAGGAAAACAACTACGTAACAGTCCGCGCCAGACATGTTGGAGACAAGAATCAGGTCTCCACACTATGTGCCCAACACTCCAAGTTCCGTTGATGCAAACTTTTTTTGTAAAAGATGAACCACAAACTACGGGAAGCACCAGAAGCCTGGCTTTCGGTGGTTGGCTTCATCTAGCTCTAGTAGACTCTAATCCGATCCCCCCACCTGTTTGATGCCACTCCAGTAGACTCTGTTCGCGTCACCAGGAGCTGAGCCCACCAAGTCATTTGGTGGAGGTTCTACCCCCAGAGGATCCCAAGGCGGGACGGGCGGCCGACCGGCAGACCCACGGCGCCAGGGAACTGCATGGCGTAGCTTGCCAGAGTTCAAAGCCGGTGGAACTCCGTAAATTCTGCATTTGCGAAATCAAGGTCAGAACATTGTCAGCCACTCCAGGAAGAGGAAGACCTGAGAGCTTCAGTTCCCCAAAGCTTGGTCATGTGGAGGTGGAGAAAACCCTTCTCACGCTGTCATTCAAAAGCCGTGATAGTTTGCACCTGGACCAAGACGTGGAGCAACGTCCATGGCCAGTTCCACTTGGTTGTCCTGGACATGAGGGATAGTCCACGTCACAGTATTGGCAGCACCACACAGGAGAGAAAGCTGCCAAGTAATTAGATCAACCTCAGTAGAATCAAGAGCCTAGCAGCCGCACCAGCCACGTCAGGGCCAGACCCGTCCTGTCGCAAGGTGCACCTTTCCAGTGATGACTGTGCTGGTTTGCGTGGGCAAGATAAGGCCCAAACAAGAACAAGATGGGAAAGGGACACCAACGCAGCCAAGAAAGCTTCTGGAGAGTCATGGTATGAGTATTCATCAGAGGCTTCGCCTTTTGATTGAAAGGCTGCTGACAACCCCGAGAGGAAGCCCATCCGTGGAAGGCTGAAGAGGTGCCGGAGAAGCTGCATGCGGCGGTGCGGCAGGCGGTGCGCCGGGCCAGTCCCTGTCCCTCGGTGAGGAAGTGTCCAGCCAGCTGTCCAGCAAGCCTTCTGTGACAGCGACGGCGGGCGGAGGGCCGGCATGCTTGGGCACTTCTCATGGCCTAGCTGCACGATGCTGCAAGCTGCTGGCCTACGTGATGCCTTCGTCTGTGCGTGTGTGGATGCTGGAGGGCCTTGACTGGACCAAGGAACCCAAAAGCCAACAGATCGCATTCAGTCAAACAAAGTCCAAGCAACTTATGTCTATATACAGTAGGTAAGTTTGTTCATGCATCCCGCAGAGCTTACAGTGTCTAACCATGTTCAAGCACTTGGGCCAAAGCCTGTCCAAGTCCAACGAGCCAGAAAACGTGTCTCGTGCAGCAACAATACGACTGACGGATTTTTGGCCCCGAAGAAAGACCAAAGGAGCCCCTCGCAGAAATGCTCTTGATGTGATGCTGCTCTCATCTCAAAGCCAAAAGCTGCTTGGGTCAGTAGCCACTGGTCAGGGCCATATCTGTGACCCCAACTTAGCACCATATATGGCGCCGGTGCCTTCTTAGTCATTCCCCACCTATTTCTCGCTCTACACCCGCTCAACTATGCCCCCACTCAGACGTTTCCAGCCATCCTCGATGTGGATGCCAGCGGCCCCGTTCTCAATGAACATCTTGGCAAGTTTCATGGTGGCGGTGATGCCACCGTGTCCGGTGTCAGCGTCGGCAATGATAGGATTCAGGTAGTCCTTGGATTCAACATGTTCAACAGCCTGCCGGTGAAATGATCACAACCTCTGCATGCTAGAAACTGGGCAAGCCAAGCGGGACGGCTTTCAATCCTGAAATCTTCCTATAAACACCTGTCCAGCAATGTCTGCCAAGGCTCCACCACCGGAGTCTTCGCACGCTCCTCGGCGCTCATGCGGCGGCGCTCCTCATACTGCTTGCGGTTATGGAAGAGCTGGGCACGGAAGAGCTGGTCCACCTGCAATAATAGCACGGGCCTGATCCGCTGTAAAGCTAGCACTTGAGGCAACCGTCACAGAACGGGTATCTCCAGCTCCACTGCTTCCACGGACCACAATGCACTCCTCGTAAGGCAATCCAAGGGGAATTTGGTGTGGGAAAGATTGAATGCAGATAGCGAGGGAAACGATGCTTTCGAGTGTTGCAGCTCGGATATATTTGAGCGATGAGCGACGTGGTTGATGAATCAGACTGAAGCTGTTGTTGCAAGTATGCAAGCGCCAGAGGTGGAAGCCGAGCCCAGTATCCCTTGTTTGCCATGGCAAAAGGAGATGTAGGGAGCGATTAAATCCAATTGATCCAGATTGTAATAAGGCTCGATGGAACTCTTTGCCTACATCTACTTCTTAGATGTCGCCTTATTGAATAATGCCCATGCTGAGAACGGGCTAGGTACTAGGCACGAAAGCTTTGGGGCCTCGAGTTTGTGATGCCCGATGCCCTTTTTCGCTGGCATATGTTCTCAACCCTGTGGTGCATTCCTGCTGTTATGCATCCATATGCATGTGTTAAGTGGTTTGTGGTTGAGTTTCCTTGTGTGCCCCTGTACTTTTCCGGGTGCAAGGCGAATGTTTCTCACGTGTAGACCTTTGCGCCTTCAGTCGCAGCAGTGTACCCATCGTGGTCTTTGGCATGTTGCACACTGTGGAGCTAATTCTTGTGGTCCTTTTTTGCCCGCCCACCTCCCTAAGCTTGGAAGGTTCAGATCGTCCTTGTGTATGCTGAGTTGTCCATTGCTTCTGTGACCCAGGGTTGGATTTGTTGTCCCCCAGCTCTGACATGGAAACCTGGTGGTGTATAGCAGGTCACTCCTTTTGGCCGATCTTCCCACCTTCACAGCCACTGGCTGGAAAAAGACACAGCATCGCACGATGGCACTCCTGGGAGAGGGCGAGAATTCGGGTTATGCGCTCTAGGCCCTAGGGTTTTTCTTTTGAGGGCACCATGTGTCAGGAAGTCTTGAGGGCACTCGCTATGCGTGAGAACCATTGCGGCAGAACTCTAAGCCTGGTAGAGTGAGAATCTCTGGACAGAATAAGTCAGCTGAGCAGTCAAGACTGGTCCTAGCTGGTGCGTTGGCGAGGTCGGATCCAGTGGAAACCCGTAGACCGTCTCCTGCCTGGAGAGTCGCTACGCAGGTTCCTCCTGCAACGCCTTTGCTCAAGATCTAGTCCTGTTCCTTTGCTGATCCATAGAAAGCAGCCCTTGAGCGCTCATGGATGCTCATGGGTTGATTATTGTTATTGATTGATGATAGAATGTATACAGGTTTACAGTCCAGTTCCTGTTTGATACAGCAAAAGCACTGAGCAAGTGACTTGTTTTCCCGGTCATCATTAAGCCTGATTTGTGGTGGTTGCCAAAATGGAGTTTCCAAAACAAACCTGAATGAGGACACATGAAGAGCATGCATTGATGCGAATATTTGGTCGTTTGCAGCGTCTTCTTCAAGAGCACCAGATCAACCTGAGTTCCTGGAGATTTGTAACATGTTACTTAATGGTTAGTTTATATTGTTTGGTTAGTGACCAAGGTGACAAGCTTGGAGCCTGGACCCACTGCTGGCAACATCCCACACGAAACCGGAAGAGCTAACTGCCAAATGTCCGTCTAATCTCCCGTAAGGTGTCCCAAACATTGTCCTACCAGGTCCTACCATATATTCAGGAATACTTCGGTATCCAGCTTCAGGCACGGGATGACAATCTCCCCGTATTGTTTGCAGGACACGTTCAGGCCACGCTCAAATCAAACATACAGTATGCAACCCAAACATAGTGACCTAACTGACAAGGGGGGACCTTGAAAAAGGACACTATATACCTCCTTTATGGACTCCTCATTCTCACTTGGTATCGACTTTCAAGGCCGGGATCATGGATGGGTTGGTTTAGTCTTTGTGGGTGACCATTGACGTGGTGGCCCAAAATACTACAAACATATGTTCTGTTTGTGCGTCTCGTGTTTGTTCCGTGCGCCCAATTTACGGTGGTTTCCCAAAAACTCACCTCCCAGGGCAGGGTTGCACGCCGCACGTGTGTGTGGTTCCAGGCGAAGCAAGTCGGGGAGGCCTATGTGCCGGTGGGTTCCAAGCCCGTGAAGATGACCGTGAAGAGGTCGGGCACACCTTGGGCCACCCAACCAGGTTTGGAGATGGTGACAATCAGCATGCAGCATCCTCGTGATCCGCTACCTACAGTAGATGGAGAAGACATGACAAGACCCAGGGAAACAAATTTGTGAGTTTCAAAAAATCAGACCTCTCATCATGTGTCAAACTCGATGAACTGTGCGTTGCCAAGAAAACCCTCCAGTACTGTTTGGCGTTTGTGTTTCTCACTATGTGTTTCCAACTTGCTGCTTTCTTTCTGAACTCTTGAAGCGCAAGCGCAACTGTTTGTAGCTTCACAAAGCAGCATTGCCAGGATCGAACTTGGTATCTTGCATGGGTATACAAGGGTTTGTTGCTGCCATCCATCTCTGGCACCGCAGTTTCTGTGAGTTGTGTCTTTTCGTTGGCAAGAGATCAATCATCAGCTTTCTGGGTTTGACCAATCTGTGAAAGCTGCCAGTTAGGACTTGCGTCATTCAAGTAGTCTTGCATAGTCTTACAAAGGGGTTGGAAGAACATCAATTTGCGTGAATGTTTGCAAACGCCAGAGTGCCTAAAGGGCATGGACCCTGAACTATTGGATGGATTCGTTTCACATCGTTTTACAAATTGTCACAAATTAGGTGGGTTCCGGTCTAGATGCTCTTCCAGGAATCAGTACTTTTGTCTTTGTGTTCATCAGCTTCATTGTCTGTAATTTCTTATCACGAAAGGTAGCCCTTTAGGGGATACCTTGAGTTTGTCTTGCGAAGCAAGTGTTGGGACGTCCGGGTCTAATAATTGATCGCTCAATTCAGACCCCCCCCCCCTCCCCCCCTCTAAAATCAATTCTCTCCTGGAGAACGTCTTCGTGAGCCTCTCATGATTTCAGGATAGTTGAAACCCTCTTGAACATTTAGAAAGAGTGAATATGAAATTCTAATCACGAAAGGTGTTCCCCGAGGGGATACATACCTAGAGTTTGTTTTGTGAAGCACGTCAATTCTCTCCTGGGGAGCGTCTTCGTGAGCCTCTTATGGTTTCAGGATAGTTCAAATCCTATGATGTTCCGATTCAATGCTCACCGATGATCTGAGCCATGGGGCAAGTTTGTTTTCCTAAGAACCTTTTTGAACATTTCGAGAGCATATGTTTGAACATTTAGAGTGCATATGAACATTTACGAAAGGTCGCCTCCGAGGGGATAAATCACCATGTCGAACATTGCATTTTGTTCCTGCCCCTCGCGTTCTCTTCTCTTCCCGCTGTCCTACCTTTCGTGTCTCCCTCCTCTCAAGTTCAGTGAAACCATCAAGTGCGTACAGGAGAAATTCTGGAAACTCTCGAAACTGGTTCTGTTGCGACATCCGAGCATGTTGGACCACGTCTATATACATGTGCGCGGCACTCATCAAGTTGTTAAGAACCGTTGTGCTGGGTCTGTATATACCCTCAATTGGCCTATGATCCTTATGGTCTACAATCGCGGTAGCAAATGCTGGCCCTTCGGGTTGATTACACTCCAATTCATTGGTTCCTCCTCAAAGGTCCTAAGCGCTGACTGTTTGGCCTCATTGACGCAGTGCTTGTTGCGTTCTTTTGCGAGGTTGGAGGCCATGGCTTCTAGATTGGAGGCCATCGCTATTGGGTTGGTCCTAAGCGCTGACTGTTGGCCCCATTGACGCAGTGTGTGCTTTTTTGCGAGGTCCACCGTGCCCGAGGGCTATGAGCGGGCCATCGACCACTTTGAGTTTGACCTCACAGGCGGACTGGCCCCAACGTGCGGTGGATCCATTGAATTCCATTTAGCCTCATTTAGCATACAGCTATCCCAACAGGTATCGCACCGGTTCATGCACTAGTCACTGTGGGTTCGTGGGGGGCCCAATCCCAAAACAACCGAAGGGTCCACTGAAAGCAAATCAGAAAGAACCAGGTGTGGGCCAAAGCAAAAAAGCGAGCAAGTGCAGCAATGCCTGTTTTGCAAAGCGCGAGCGGTCATCTAGATGCCTTCGAGTGAAAAAGCGAAAGCGGCGCCACCAAGTGAAAAAGGCTCCAACGTCAAGCACCAAATGCACATCCTCAAAGTCACATCGGGGAAAGAGGACGTTGGCGTTGGAGCTTCTGGACTTTCATCCTTTCCTTTCTTCGTTCCCTTTGGGCTCGGCGGATGCCTGCCCTTCGTTCTTCTTCCTTGGCATCACTGGCGGTCTGGATCAAGCAGATCTCAGCCGATTCCTTGAAGACCTCAAGGAGTGACCCTGACATGTCCTTGGTCAAGGGGTCTGCCAGCTGCCGCCAAGTGGGTGTCCATTTCAAACCCACCACCTCATCTTCGATGAGTTGCTTCATCAGCAGCATGTCCAAGGCTGCTTGGCGTTCCGTGGCAACTCCACCTGTTTTGTGCAGGTGGTCATGTAGACCTTTGGCGTCCGTGATCAAGCATCCTTTGGTGCGGATCTCACGGCGCCAGTTGGAGCTGATGTCCAGCTTGCCGAACAGGAAGGAGTCGGCGATCACCCTGTTGAAAAGCTGGCGATCGCCTGCACTGGACATTGCACATCCCTCGGCTGCCAAGCTGCTCCTGACAACTCTTCGGATGCGGTTGGAATGGAATTCCAAGATGCAAGCTGGTGCTGGCTTGTGGAAGGCATCTATGCTTGTCAGCAGGTGCAGCTCTCCTTGCTGAGCTTGGCCACTCTTGGATGTACCAAGAGATGCATCGAAGTAGGAGACGAGGAGCAGCTCTCCCTTCATTGGAGGAATTCTTGTTTTGGCCTTTCCTTCAGAGGCCGTCTCCTTCATGCTTTTGAGGACCTTGTTGGCATACTTCAAGTCACCACCATTGGCCTCGCCCACCCTTTGTGCCAACTCGCTGACCCGGAACAGGTATTCGGGCAAGACATGGTGTGCGGGCCACCTCAACTGCATGATTAGCCTTCTGAAGGCTGACAGCTGTTTTCCTTCCAGGGCCTTAGTCTGCTCCGTTTCTTCTGGAGCATATTCCACCTTGTTGATGTACTCCGTCATGTCATCTTCAAAGGTGTGGTCCTTGTAGGTGGTCTTGACTCCTAGGAAGGTTTCTGCTGTCTCCGCCAAATTCTTCCATTCCTTTATGGCGAATCGTTCACTGATCGCCTGGCGGATCTTCTGGGCTTGGCTGGGTGCTGCAACCAGGAGGCCATCATCGACGTGGAGGCAGAGGATCGCCTGCACTTCTTGGTTCTTCTTTGACCTCATCACAAAGGTGGCTTTTGCCATGGCCAACTCTTCAAAGCCAATCTCCAGCAAGAGCTCTCGGGCTCGGAGATACCAGAGACGTGGGGCTTCTGAGAGCCCATAGGCACTTTTGACCACCCTCAAAAGCTCCCCCGGCTTGACGGCTGCTTCATCATGTTCTGGAAGTGCTGGAAGGCCTTCAGGAGGTGCACGAATCAGCACTTCTCTATCAACCTCCTTCCCTGAAAGGAAAGCCGTCGTGACATCGAAGGTGAGGGCCATCCAGTGTTTATATGCACACTGCCTTTGCCAACTGCACACAGACCCACATCGACGTCGGTGCATCTGACCTGAACTGCCCCAGGTGTGGATCCAAGTGGCCAGGGATCACCATCCTTGACTTTGGCTGGAACAGCCCATGCATGACACATCGCACCACATTGCTAGACTCCGACCAATAGCACTCGGAAGTTTCACCCAGCGAGTTTCACCCTCCGTCTTGGAACTGAATTCAAAAAACGCAGAGACACTATTTACAGCTCAACACTCTCACGTTTTCGCCCTGAACGAGTACTTACTCTACAGCTGCAATATTTATTTACAGATACAGTCTTGTACAGATTCAGTATTTATAGAAGCTGTATTTCTGCACTGAATGAGTTGTTTTCTTGTGGTTCTTACATGACAGGACTGACATTTTGCTTTCTCACACGACAAGACGAGCTTTCATGACTTTCAATTTCTCCATGCAATTGTCTCATGCCCTGTGGTCGCCTTCACTTTACTCCTCAGCCTTTTGATCTCAACTGACTTCACCTGTTCGTATTTCCTCAACCTTTTTGGGCATTGCCGGAGCTGGACCCACAACACACCAGCAGCGCACATCTACGGCGTGTACACCTCCCAACACAGCTGCCGCACCATCGTCTATCATACCAGAGAGCAGCTTCATTCATTGCAACAGACAATGTACTTCGACGAAAACATTTACCCACATCTCCCTCCTGTACTGTTGGACCGCATACTGAGAGTCAGGGCACTGGTCAACCACGCGACCGACGACCTCACAGCTGCTTTAAACCACATTGAAGCAATCGGCCAGTTCCCGCCAAATCATTTGAAAGGTAAAGGCAAAGGCAAGGGCAAGACACCCGACACAACCGATCTCACAGATGACCCCGCTACAAGCATCCACCAAAACGAACTTATTCACCCATACACACCTCCACAAGCCATGGCACCACCTTGCACCACACCACCACCTTTGGCCTCCACCACCACCCATGAACACTCACAGCAAACCACACCTCAGCCAGCTACGACACCTGACTTCCCACACACAGCCCTAGCACCCAAGCCATCTTACACCTGTATGCGCTCAGCCAACAGCTGTTTTTCACCACCACGACCAGTGAACCTCTTCCCCACTCACCCATCACAACACCCCAACCCACAGCAATGTGACCCCACCCAAGTCTACAACATCCGCATTCCCCTACAGGGGCACGCCACACTGACAGCTATCGGGCCGATCTCAGCACCACCCGCATCCACATCCAACAGCACACCCACCATTTACTATTTGCCTACACCCACCAACATTCGACCCAACCATCCAGAAGCGGGCACAGGACCTCCCGGACCCTGGTGGGATGATGCTGGAGCGCCACCGTGAGAGAGAGCCAGACCTAATTTAAGGTCTTTGATTCTATGTACATGGTTTTTGATCCAATGCGTTTAGCTCGTCGACCCTTGCAGCTATTGCAAAAATACTTCCAGTATTGATTCTATTTATTCCCGCGTTACTTTGATCTTCGAGTTTTTGATCCTTAAGTTTCTGATGATTGACTTTCGAGTTTCTGACGATTGTTCAACTTCAACTTCGAAATCTTCAACTTCGGATTCTTCACTTACTCAAGTTCTACCTTTTTCACATTTCAGCCATTGTGGTTCAAACAAACAATCAGTTTCGACTACCCTCGTGCTCAACGTTCTTTTTGTACGGAACTACAGTGTTCCCCTTCATGGACGCGCATCAACAATGGTGGCAACAATACTATGGCACAGTGACGCCCACTGCAGGCTATGGACCTCTCACCAACGCAGTGCGTCATCACTACCAACACCCTTACCACCAACATCACCAACATCACGCAAACATTACAGCCGAGGCACCGACAGCCTCTCCAGCTCCGCCCGCAACGTTTCCACCCGAACCCTTGCCCCCACCCGCAGCACCTCACCACCCATCGCCTGCACAGCTTGGCGTTGTACCCCCCCAACATTCCCAACTTACCTGACACATGGACCCCCAGCGACACACATTTGGACACAAATACAGTACATGGTCACACATTATTCCGGACGATCCAGCCGACGCAATGGTCCAGGAAATACAACCTCGCAGGACAGCAAGTCCTGGACATCTTTCCGTGGCAGCTCAGCCGTTTCGGCCTCCAAGACCACAGCCTCCGCATCTTATCTCAAGGACGCTACACCGGCATCGTCACCACCAGATCCATAGCCGAAGCTGTATTCACCTCACAACTGCTGCCAGAGATGCGGGCCCACAACCTGGACATTGACAACATCGCTGAATACTTGCACCGACAAGCTGATCAGTCCATTCCAAACAAAACGACAGAAGCCAAGCAATTTATGCAACCGCTTATTTCTCGCATCATTGACTTCCTACGGGGCCTCACACCACCAGCCGGAGAAGGCACAGCACTCCGAAAGCTCCAGCTACAAACCGACCGCCTGCAACAACAAGAGAGCGAACTCCAGCGCGCTCGCGACAAGTTGAAGAATCATGGCATTGCACTGACACCAACCAAGCCGGGGACACAACCCACCCCACCATCAGCTCTCCCACTTACAGGCCCTTCAACAATTACAACCAACACCATTCTCAATCCCACCACGCAGACACTCCATGACAACTCACCAGCCAACTATGCAGCAGCGGGCATTCAAAAATGGCTTAAGACATTACCACCCGCCACTCAGACACAAGTCAACAACATCCAGCAAATCCTTCGTGACGAACGCATCACAAAAGAACAGCTCCAAGAAGCCGCCACACGGTACGGCATTCCTCTCGCTCGGGTTCTCAAGCTTCCCCCACGTTCACTACAGCAGCTAGTGGCCGCGGGCTCGGCATTAGCAGCCTGACTCGCACAACAAGCGCTGCATCAACCAACACATCTTACTCTACAATCCTTAACTACACTGCACACAGCACTATCACACATCGTCCATTTCACTCCCTACATTGACAAGACTCACGCAATGTTTTCCGTCAGTCTCATTCACCTTTCATGCCTCTTTGCTTTTCCATCTCAAACACACCACTCTGTCCAATGGCGCTCCCGTCTCAACCTGCTACACGTCACACCACACACCTACCACTACCAACTGTTCACACATCCCAATGCAGTCTATGCAAAACTCTTTTTCAATCAACATCACACAAAGCACCAGTACCACCAACATGGACACACATATATCGGTTCTACCAGTATCACCATTCCAAAGCGAGAATACAATCGCCACGCAAAACTCAAGCAACTACACAACAACCATCCAATTTCAGCAGAGTTATCCCTACGCTTCTGGCACTCCAAGAACAACCTCCACCACTACAGTACCATCTACCTTTCCCATCACGACACCTATGATCAGGCATGGACTTACGAACATTTGCGGATCCAGGAATGGCAACCCACACTCAATTGGCCATACATTCAACGACACCTCAAACTTAAAGCCTCAGGTTGGCAATTCACAAAACACCGCACCACTTTCACACGCATGTCCACTCACAAACGTCTCTTCCAACGGCTACGACGGCGACAACACACCCTCAAGCAGCCCCACCTCTACACAAGTCAACGTCTACATGCCCTGACAGTTCTACGAGAGCTCAGCAAACATACACGTTCATCTTTTGAAACATCAACAGCCATCCGCAGCGGCAAATACACTGATCTCGAAATCTATGCCTTCCGCCGCATGGCCGCCAGCTTAGAAGAACCAGATCGATCACGAGTCCTTCACCTTTTACACTCAGCGCTCAGCTTCCGCAATCTCACTCCACCAAAAGCCAACAAGCCCTTCACCATTCCTTTCCTCTCCCACAACACTTTCTCGTCCTCCGCGGAAAAATGGCTTCGTACACTGATCCAACACCACATGCATCACGTCATCCCTTTCCATCCACCCACTACCAAACTCCGTGAGGCAGCACACAAGACTTTACGATCACGGCTATACAACCACAAACGTTGGGAGGAACTCTTCTCAGCACAGCCCTCAGCAGCCGATATGCCATGCAGCTGTCACCACATGCACACCCTGCTTCGACCCAACCACACACCGCAGCTCTATGACGGCCATTACGTCCTTACCCTTGATGACCTGCAGCTACCCAGCCATCTTCAACTATTCCTACAAGCCAACATGAACAGCACATTCTTTCCCACGAAGACACAATACTTTCATCACTTTCAACAACAACTCACTCACTGGCTACGACACCATGGCCTGCCCACCGCCCTACATCAACACAGCTTACCTTTTCTACACCAACAATGGAAACAGCATATCGACCACATCCTACACACACCACGGTTTACATCTCGCAATGTTACACAGTTACAACAGTTTCTTACAGACAAACTGGTACTACATCATGCTGACCACGAACTACAAAACCTACGACTTTTCTGCCCACAGCACTATTTCCACGGATGTCTCACCACATGGAATACACCACAACTTTTTCTCCCACTACCGGATCTCACTGCCCAACAACTTCACCAATTTCTCACACAATCATTCCCAGCCAGCATCCGCAAAGCATACCCATGGGGCTTCCGCAAGCAATTCTACACACCACATGGAGTAGTCTTCCTCAAACAAAAGAAATCTTGGCGAAAAGGTAGAACAGTCATCAGCTATTTCAGATCCATTGCGGGCACATTATTACGAGCCACCTCCAAAGCATTAGACATCATGCTCCTTCATCTTCTACCACAACATCCAGGCCAACTATCCATACCCAACCTGTGGCAACATCTCCACAACCACTTCCAGACCACACCCGACGACATCCACCTTACACCGATCAATGACGACCTTGTTGGCTTCTTCAACAGCGTACCTCAACAACGCCTTGTCGACGCAGTCATCAGCCTATGCCACCGCTGGAAAGCACAACACAACACTACTACCATTACCATTGATGTTCAGTCTACCGGCAATCCCATCCAACACTCACACATCGGTCGGCACTACATCCACCACCCACAGCAACGCACACTTGACACACAACACATCCCCCTCATCGTTCAACAAGCTCTTCACTCATGCATTTTCCAAGCATGCAACACCTACTACAAGCAAATTCAAGGAGCAGGCATTGGCAGTCAGCTCTCACCAGCACTTTGCAATGTTGCAATCACACTCATCGAACACACCTGGCAAACCACATACCACAACTTCTTACACCAACCAAGCCTTCACTTGCTCAACACTCGCTACGTCGACAACCGATACATCTTGCTCAACGAACAATACAGGTCAGCACTCCCTATCACTACATTGGCCCATCCTGAATTTTATGAACAACCAGTTGAAATAGAGCCAGTGGACGACGACCATCTACTCGGTTTCCTGATCGATCCCCTCAACAGAACCGTCACCTTCCAACTCCCCACCCATCCCTGGCAGATTCGTGATCCGCAGTCAGCAGGAAGCCACAGGCTACGCCTTTCAGGCTTACAATCACGCCACCACACTCTACAAAAATACACATTTCCACCACATCTAGTACCCACAACAGCACAACAGTTGATGCAGCTCTATATGACCAAAGGTCATTCCAAAGAACACTGCGCCGCGGCGCTGCGGCCACGAAGAGAAAAGACTATGCGCCAGTATTTTGCAGACTGTCGTTGTGTACATTTCACATCATTGAATTTATTCGATGTCCAGCCCTTCCAATATTTATTATCCAGGTACTACCTGATCCGATCTAGTTGCGCCGATACGGCTCTGTGTGTGTGTCCACTCCTGTTTCCAAGGACACTACTCTAGTACTTTTTCTAACCTACCCTACGAGCCTTCCAACCACTGTACAGTAGCAGGGGGCACGGCGGCCGTTCACCTAGCCGTGCTAACAAAGCTATGGTGTTCGGTTGGAAGAGATACTGGACGCAGTATCTTGTACCTGCAATTTTTAATTCTCACTCATTGATGCTTCTAAGTCAGTTCAACGCTGTCTCCTACGTTGATTTTGCAATAAAGTGCTAATGCTCTCGGCTAATGCAGTACCTAAATGTAAAGGGCTAATGCACACCGCGAAGCAACCTGAAGTCACGCTCCACGGAGCAACCTTCTCAAGTGTGTGCGTTTATATTTATACAATTCCCAAAGGTAGAGCACTGCAAGTTCTGCTGGATTTTAGGCCATACCACATTCTGCAAACCCAGCAAGAAACCTGCGAACCAGCTGAGCCTGGGACCCTATGAGTCTTTCATGTGCTTTCTCCAACTGTTCAAAGGGCGTCCAATTATCAAACAAATCCAGAAGGTCTTGGGTGTGAGTGTTGTTTTCAATCGCTGAAGATCTCCGGTCAGCTCTGTATTTGCGAGGCAGGTGTATGTGTTGTAGATTTCCCGAAATCTACGTGCTTATAGTTCCACCGAATAGGTGGTGTTGGATCTCTTGCAACCTTTAATGAGAATGTTGACTCAACCTGACACCATACTGAACCCCAGAATCACCTGTGGGACCATGAGCGTCATGAGCCATGTCCATTCTATATGAGGGAAGTTGGCATACTTGCTCCGACGGTCAAGAGTATGTGGATGTCGCTGTGCCTTTGAGGATGAAGTATGTCAAACCAACGCTCACTAAAGTCAGAATGATGAAGAGACAAAATATATCAGCATAGACCCCAAACAGTTTCAAAACGATTCGTTGGGACCAACCTTACTGTAGTCGAAAACGATTTCTTGGTACGCCCGAGCAAATTGCTTTATCAATGGTTTTTGTCGGCATGGACATCGCCCGCTAATTGTTCGGCCATAAGAGAAGACAAGAGAACAGCAGGACAAGAGGAGGACAAGACCCAGACACAGAGCCAGGCCACAGAGTTCAGGGGCGGGCCAGAGCCCGGCCACAGAGCCAGGCCACAGAGCCCAGCCACAGAGTTCATGGGCGCAGCCAAGAGAAGGACAAGAGGAGCACAAGAGGAGGACAAGACCTGGACACAGAGCCGGGCCACAGAGCCCAGCCACAGAGTTCAGGGGCGCAGCCAAGACAAGGACAAGAGGAGGACAAGACCCGGACACAGAGCCGGGGTCTAAGATAGAACCCCAACAGTAAACTGCTTGGGGAAATATGACGGGAGGGTCCCGGAGGAAGGCTCCTAAGGGACGCCTTGGATGACTCCGTCGCTCCACTGCAGGCAGTGGCTTGAGCTACGAGCAGGGTGACTCCCTGGGCTTGTGGCCATCAAACCCCAAGCAGCAGGACTGGCCTATGCATCGCAACGTCGGCACGCCATCATGGCGTCGGTCAGTCCTGGTGAAGAATATGGATTCAGATTCGATGTCATACCGAGAAGATGCAAGAACCGTGCGTAAGGGAGTACACAGTGTACTGTAAGTGCATCAGCTTGCTTTGGGGAGATCAACTTACATGTATGTCAAGGAGGCCCCTTGGGGTGAACTGAATTACACTTGCCTGTTTCCACAGATCAAGTCAAAATTCGAGTGACTACAATTCGAGCCTCCAGTTATCTACAAAGTTGTTGGCAAGGTGGGTCAAATGCAAATTGAACCATCCGATCAGGTGTGGGCCGAAGCAGTTCGCAATTCCTCAAGTGATTTCTTAGTCGCGGGTGTCCACTTCCAAGGGTCCTTTTGCCTTTGAGCAGTGACAATCATCCAGTTCATCTCGGCAGTTCAAATCTGTTTGAATTTGCCAAAGGGAGTTTGAGGATGTGGACATTACGCTTGTGAAATCAGGAAGTTGTGGACCTGACAGATGTGGCAATCAATCAGTTTACATAAAGCAAAGAGGACCATAAGAATGGGTCAAATGACACAGCTGATTGACGGACAGCACCATGCAAGTTGGCCATGCAAGTTCCAGTCATACACCGTGACGTATCGTCAGTTCATCCAGTCTTCATGGGAAGCAGCACACCTAGAGAGTTTGGTGGACGTAGTTTGGTGGAAATATGTTTTTTTTTTTTTTCTGACAAGTTTGTCCTTTGGACTCATGTGAAGGACTCACATTACCAGATGCAACTCCCAAAACATGGTTTTCCTGGCATGTGGAGTTTGGGTTTTGGTATACAGTACTGGTATTTTGTATGCAGAATCAGTGAGATTGGATTGCGTTGTATTTCCCTGTTGCACTTGCTGCCGGTCAGCGACAGGTTGACATGTGTCTCATGGCGCTCAACATGAAAGGAGCTGCGAACCTGTGTTCAAGATGATGGTTGAAGCGACACACTTATATGTTTATTTTGTAGGATCGCAGGAGTTTGGGGAGGGATGGGATGAGTTTGATGTGTCTGGAACGGATGTTTTTTTTGCACTTAGAAGGTGGTTGTTTTTCCACATGCCAAAAAAACTCTGAGAGAAGCATTGTTTTGAAAAAAAATATGTTGTTCAACCGACATGTTTTGTATATTTGATGGAATTTGAGTGTTATATATATACTGTATAATACATATATACATGTATGTGTTATTGATTTGTATTGAACCAGGGACTATCGGAAGACGAAACATCAACGAACATCTGGCTCAGGGTCCTCCCTATTCTGATACACACGCAGGAATGAGGGCGGGTATGGTCTAGTGGCTATGACACATCCTCATCGGACCCGGGTTCAACCCGCGGGTGCAACACTAGACGGACAGGCAGGCCACTACCCCACCCCTGCAGTTATATACGGGGATGAGCTAGGGTGTGGACCGTTAAACACACAATACACAGCACATGCAGGATTTGTGGGCGTTGTTTTGCATGTCAATATTCGCAAGGTCATGTTTGGGGTTCGAGACGTCAAAACTCCCCCACATTGACATTATTGTTTTTGTTATCATCAAAGCTTCATGTTCATGAGGCTGTGGAGCATAGGTGAATTTTTGTGTAAAGGTGCCAGGTACGTCCTTATATATGTGATATATTGAGCGCAAACAATTTGATCACGAGGAATAATCATGCATGATTGGCAAGACAAGTACTTGAAGTTATTGGCTTTGCATTTCTCTATGTGGTGTGCTATGTACTGCTCCGAACGCCACGATGCTACGGTAACAATCAATTTTCTGGCAAAGCCGAAAACACTTGGTGTTTAGGAACACTGACTAACCAGGGCAGTCCAGAAAACTGGTGTTTGTCGCAATGATGACACAAGCGGAGTTTTATTCGCTGAAGCTGAGTGAAGCTTATTGCAAAGCATGTAGTCTTGGTGCTGCTGATTTATTTTTTTCAGGCCGCGAGAACAAAACCCATGGTTTTTGTAGGCTCTTCAGTGACCCACACAACAAACCTTTGACTAGCAGCTAGCAGTCTGAACTTATGCCAGAATCAGCACCGCGACATGACAGTTGTGAGATTTTGTGAGATGATGTGAAACACTGTTCTCCGATTCGCATTGCAGGAGATGAGATCTTGCATTTGCGCCCGGTGGACTCCAATCGCTCGGTTCCATTGCCGGAGGTCATCACAGCATCTTGGACCAGTGGCGCATAGTGAGTGTTCAGGCTTTGGAGATGTTTCTCGAGACCTCAAACCAAAGTGAGACCCAAAAGATTCACCTGTCCACAGGATTGTCTTCAAAGGGCCTGGCCAGAAATGGATCTCGGATGATCTCGGTTTATTTTATGTGTTTTGTTGTTGTTGTGTCCCATCAAAGGAGGGGTCCACCAGATAAGTTTAAGTGTTACTCTTACCCCGCGGGGTTGGGTATTAAGCATTGGCATTGTCACACAGTTTGACCATAGCATGGCGACTCCTTGAAATACTCACCGTCATTCTCGTTGAGATCAGAGATTCCATCGGGAACCTTTGTGGAACGACCTTATGGGGCATGATTGATCCGTCGAGCGCGGCAAGATGGCCTGGGCCTTTGTTTCCACAAAAGCTCAGAGTGCTGGCTTTGCCCCCACTGACCAGGAGCGCGCTTACTTTAGGTACTTCTTCAGGTTGGCTGGCCAGCTATACATCCACCAAACTCAGGTAGCTGGAAGGATAGCAGATGATAGCAGTTTTCAAGAGCTTGTGTTTGGGTAGCATTCGCCTGGCGTAACCATGACTTACCATTGTGCGGTGTTCCACGCGGATATCTGGATTTGTTGGGACTGTCCAATCACCCCAATGTAGGCTGACTTCCAGATTCTCTGCGGACATATGTCTTGAAAGCGTTCTATGGAGACGACCCCAAATTATGATTAATTCTCTAATCAGGTATGTTTGCAACAATGCACAGAAGAGAATCGAACTGTAACCTCGCCGGGGTTGTTTGCAACGGCAAGTCCCTTCACTCCTAAGCCTGGGCCTATGCCAAGTCACCAAGTCAACAAAAAAGCAAAACATGTGAAACGGCAACAGATCCATCGATCCTCGACTGTAGGCACCATCTCCAAGGATCTCAAAAGAACGTTCCCAAACTCAATCCTGCCCCCTTTCTATGACTCCATGTGCTCCTGGACACCGTTCTCAATGCCTCTCATGCGTTGCTCGTTGGTCTCCCAGGTGCGAACGTTGCTCACGGAGGTGCTGGACATTGCCGGTTGGCCCAAACGCCGCTTCTACGTCTCTTGGACCAAGTGGTAGAGACCGCGGGTTCGGGACCCTGGTAGAGAGCTGAGCAGCACTGTAGCCGGGAGTTGGGACCGGTTTTGGGAAAGAAGAGGAAGTTGGCTCTCTCATGTGTGGCGTGCGTTTGGCAGGCCAGCTGCTTTGGATTGCCGAGGTGCATTAATGGTTTGAAACTCTCTTAGGAATGCCGTGGATCCCTTCACCTGACTTGGGTTTTGCGTGATCCGAACAATCCCATTCGGAACTTTTGAGGTTGAAGAGAGGCTGTGAACACAGATACTCTGTTGGATTTCGAGCCATCCAAGTGAAATGCTGGCTGGTCCCTTCTATTTGAAGGGGATACAGTGCCCAGTGATGTTCAGCCTGTTGGGTCGGACTTTGTCTCATTGGCTTCGGCTTGCGCACACCTCGTATGCTGGACTGTGGTCCCTTCAGAGCACGCGATAGGTGGTTTACCATGTTTACCTGGTAAGTATTGGGGTCAATCTTGCAGTATTAACAACATGTACACACCAGCATGGATCAGTTGCCTTTCGACACTCCAAGACCATTGACTTGGGTTTCGTGGACTTGTGGACCACATGCTAGCAAGACTCAGGGTCTGACTGTGCCTTCGAGTTTCAAGATTTGGTCATGCAAAAGGTTGACATGTTCTGTAAGTCGTAAAGCCCTAGGAAGATGACAGATGAGGACAGGATTGAATACAAAAACATACGAATACAACATTTAAAAAATAAACATATATATATAATATATATATATATTACTATATATATATATGTGTGTGTGATATGGGGTTTACTGCCAGTGTGGAAATTGTATGAAGCTTTGGATTCACATCCAGAATTGCATCGATTCCTCTCAAACGTGCCCTGAACTCTGAGGAAATGTTAAAGCTCAGTGCTACAGATGCCAAAGAGAAGGAGATCACCAAAGCGAACAGGGTTTCAGTCCCCAAGATTGGAGCAGAATTAACAAGTTCTTTCAGAAGAGAATACAAACTTCTCAGGTTTCTCGGATATTCACGTCACCATTTGGTCACATGTTTCTTTTCACATTGAACGCCGAAAGGGCCCATTCATTGGCCTCATTGGACTCAGTAGAATGTTCGAGACTCACTTTGACGACTCACTTTTCCTGAACTGGCTCCCCTGTCACTGGGGCTCACTGGGCGATTCATTGAGCGGAACCGGCTTCTTTTCGGCATTTTTCATCAAGCGTCGATGGCAAAACACGGAAAGGACTCGGATAAGGGGCAGGCAAAGATCATGGAGATTCTAGAATAGGTGTTGGGGACCTACGAGGTGCAAAAGTTGTTGATAATCCACTTTGCCAGTGCGTCCAGTTGCCGATGTGATGGGAAATCATGTGTTTGGAACAAAAAGCGCATCCTGGTTATGAATGGTTGTGAAAGATGAAGAGACAGCTGCGGCAAGACCATGTCAACATCTATCTATCAGGTCTATCAGGTCTTTCTATGTTGACGAGCTACATTATGGGTCAAAGGGTGCCTTGTACTTGTCCAGATGCACTTAATCCATGGCTCAAGGATGAAGTGCACCTCCTTGGAACCCAACGTGCGTCCTAATCTATTGGAATTGTTGGTTCCCCCGAGAATCTCTGGTTTGACCCAACAAGGTCATGCTATCCAGGAACAAAGTGGAGCGTCTTGAAATACTGCCCGGCCTTCAGTCCAGGCTCAAACTATGATTTGGAACTTCAAGCTCAAGAACAGTTTTGCAGCCAACAAACAAAATAGTTGCTGATCAAAACTCTCTCCCTCGATACTGCACCAGCTTGGATAGCCCTGCAAATGGTGGGTGTCTCAATCAGAGCTGCATCAACTGTAGATTGGCACTCCAAACCAGATGCAAGAAAGCCAGGACGATAGCCGAAGTAACTTCATGGCCTGGCAGCTGGTTGGGAGCCAACCAGTCTTCAAGCCACATGTATGCTGCAGGTGGTTTCTTTTCTGGGGGTTTCAGTACCACTGGTGATCACTGTGCCGTCCCCAACAATGGAATCAGAACTGGGACTCTGGGAAGACCTTGGTCCCACTAGACCGTTTCCCTAAGGACCACTTGGGGCGAGTCAAATCGGACCCCGAAGTTTGCCCGCGGTTTAGACCATCCGGGGCCGTAACGGGTCACATACCATATTCTCCCAGGTTTAGACCATGTCAAACTCACAGTGGGTTTTCTTTTCCACCGCCTTTTTCGTGCCATGACCATGATTCAGAATGCTGCTGGTGCGATCTTGGACCCTCAGCAGCACCGGATCGGAAGAGCTGGTAGAACTCTGAGTGTTGCGATCTCCGAAGCCTTCTTTTGAGACATATTCATTCTCTTGAGGGGATTCTGAGGCCTTGAAGATCAAAGGTTCATGGGTGCTCATGGCCCAAAATCCCATGGACATGTATCTCTCCAGAACCCAAAGTCTATGGCATGGACTAGTAAGACCAGAGAAAATCAAGTGTGACATGACATCAGGCAGATAGGCAGACACGTGATACTTTTCTCGGATCTCAAATTCATCGATGGTCTTCAAGGCGAGGTTACAGTAACTCCTTTGCTGTGGGTGCTGGGTTTCTACCTATGTTTGGGTTGGGTTGCTGCATGCCGACAGGATTCCAGCCTTGTGGTAGTTGGGGCCTGGCTAGACATTCCTAAAGGTTTGAGCACACTACTTCACTACTTCACTACTTCCCTCTATTCCGGCCGCATAAAGCAACAAAACACAATTCTTGTACCTGCAATAGAGCAATAGAGGTTGGGAATGATGACGGGTGGGTAAAGATGATGGGTGCCGTACCCCAATTCATAGTCACAGCCACAGTAGAACCGCTTTGAGCAAATCCAAGAGTTGCATTCAGGAAGGTCGGGCAAGACAGAGTGACGAAGGGATTGTTTTGTTATAGACATTGAAGGGTCCGCTAAACTGACAATTGCTGAAGAGTATGGTTTGGTGGGGTCAGGGACCACTGAGCCTCTCATACCAATACGAGCATGGCGAAGCAACTGCCACTGGTTTGAGCACCAGCCAGTTTGTTTGACCCGACTCTGCCCACTCTGGTTCCCGCGGCTAGTATGAAGGAAGCAGGTGGTAAGTGCCATGGGTTCTTCCGGATGCTGTCCCTGGTGGTACTAGGGGCTCCTGGCATCGCTACTAGGAACAAGGACGCTACTAGGGGCTCCTGGGGCAACGAACCTTCAGGAAACTCGGAATGTGGATGAACACCCACATGACAGCCCTCACAGCCGAGCCTGCACGGAGGAAGTCCTGGTAAATCCCATGGGCCTCCTGGACATGGGCGTCAGTATCATGAGCGTTCGAGATAGCTGGAAGCAACATCACCATTCACTGGAAGCAGGAGAAAGGCCGGTTTGATACTAGATGCATACATCATTATATTATGTACAGCATGCAAATGACTACAAGGAACTCATCAAAACAGATGGTTCTGTAATTCTGTAGAGAAAGTAAGCTTTTAGTGGTTGATGTTTCTCCACAGAGGTTTCGAAAGGGCAATCGTAGCTATGGATGGACAATATCAAACAATCCTGGTTACATTTGTTTACCCATGAGGCTGGAAAATTGGCTCCTGGAACTTCTAATGTAGTCAACATGGTAACTTTCCTTCAGAAGTAGTTGAGGTGTAGGTTTCTCTTCAGCGATGAAGCATGGTAAAGCTGTAGTACTTTCCCTACTGGAACCAGATTGCCTGGCGGTTGGGTGTTAGATGTTTGAGGATGTTTGTATGCTGGAATGCAGACATGGGTTAAGGTTTGAGGCACTCAAAGGCACTCCAGGTTGTTGAATCCAGAGAACACGTCATTCAACTGGTGCTTTCTCAAGGGGTGTCACACCATGGCCGGAGGTTCCACTTGGAATCCATGAAGGTCACCCAGGTGCAACACAGTGAAGCGCTACACCACGGGGTGAAGCACCATGAGGCGCCCGCGCATGGATTGGGGGGATCAGTCGGAGCAGCTTGGGCTCGGATTCTGAGAAAAAAGCTGGGTTGCCAATGGTTTGCGTGACTAGGTGCTGATGTTTTCATTTTAACTGTGTGGTTTAGCAGGTTGGCATCTTCCGAGGTGTTTTGTGGTGAGACGCAGTACCCTCGGGATTTATATACTTTTCCGCTCCTCCCCGGTGGATCGTTGGGGTCGTTAGAGTCGCTACCCTCAGCGCCCGTAAAGGAATGGGAGGTTTGTCACGGCTGTCTATTGTAAGGGTGAGCCTATGTGAATCCTCTTACAATCTTCTTGTGACACTGAAGTGAGTTAATGTGGCAATGTTGTAGAATTTTGGTACGTCACGGAATGTTTGTGCCTTCGTAGTGCCCAGGAAGCCATTCTGACGAGCAAGACTCAGCATGACCAGTCTCTTCATGTTAGCCGCGTGATGCATGATGAAAGCCTTAGCCGGGCAGCCAAGGGAGCGAAGCCTGATCCAAAAACCCAAGGCTCAAGTGACATGTCTTCTTGTTTAGTAGCTAGGGGAAACACCTGCTATGCATTTGGACATGAATCAACGTGTTCGTTGTGTTTGGTTTTTGTGGCTTCCAGGATCCGATTGGTATAGTCTTGATGTGAAGTGAATCCAGAAGTCCAGGGATGTAGTGGTGAGTAGACTTAATATTCATGAATATATACTGTACATATATATAATATATATATATATATACACACTCTGAACAGTGCTGAACAGCAGTGAATAGGAACTCCAGTGTTGACTTATCTTTGGAACTGGCAGGCAGTGCCAGGAGACAGCTAAAGTGGCATTTCTTGCTGCACGAGAGGGTGAGTTCTACCAATTGTTTGCCAAAACACGCAGAGATCTCAGCTGAGCTGCCGCGCCTAGGCCGTTCTCAGCTGCAGCATGAGGAGCAAATGAAGCATAGCTACATGGAGACAAGGTGCGATATTTTTCACCAACACCACACCTATGTGGGACGGGTCTTGAATATGCGTTACACTCCACATACGAATCATGCAAACATTCTTGGCAAGAAAAGCACCTATTTGGGTCTATTTGTGGGTGTTGAGATATCGAACTGTTTGAAGGGCGCAAAATGATGTAAGGGTGTTGTAGTAACATGACGGGGGTCCACAGTTTGGCTAGATCTTTGTGTCCACCCCGAAAGAAACATTGACACAAGGATTACACAGGGAGCATTTATCGGAACAGCAGGGCGATGCATCAATGGCTTGTCCGTACTTTCCGTGAGGTCGATGGGGACCAAGGGGATGGACACCAAACTAGGAGGAGCATCTAGGAGGCGAGTCTTGTGGTCCACAATTGGATCCACATCCAATCTCCCGATGCTTTCGAGGTCAACGATCTTCGTGGAACTACAAAATTGATGATTCTACAGTGTTACAAAGGTTATACAGTTATATATATATAACTATATACTGTATATATATATATATATTATAATACAATTAATATATAAATATAACTGTTTGTAAGGAGATAGGACGTTTTGGCGGACCACGTCTCTAGCTTTGAGACCAAACCGTTTGGGTTATCGATTTCAGGCGGGAGAATCTGCGGGACCTTCTGAGCGAGACGTTGGATGAGGCTGGGCCCATGCAGATGAGAAGCAGGGGATTGAGTGATCAATGGCGATTCTTCTAACAATGATTACCAATGTCTAAGACTGAAAGATTGCTTGTGCATTTGTGCCATTTTGTGCCAATGTGTGGCTTCCCACACATATATGACCACAAACTGGGCCAGACATTCAGTGAATGAACACCACGGATTCGGTGCCGAAAAAACGGTTCGACGCCCAAATGGTGGAATTGAAGCCATTTTGGCCAGATCGTATCCCAATTTCTCTACAGTGTCCTTTTGGAATGGTTGAAGCTTGTCAAACAAGAGCTCACCCAAAGAAGGTTGCTTAGCTTAAAACATG